TTTTTTTTTTTGCATTAATTATATAAATATTGTATGTTGTGCGGTAATCAATTATGTATTTCTGTACCTCTGTATTTCTTTAATTGAATAGTTTACTAGTGGGCGTAGTAGCAGCAGTATTGCTGGTGCCTTACTATTTGTGTATACTATATATATATACATAATAAATAATAATAATATATATCTGAGGTGACAGCTGTAGGAGCCAAAAGTAAATGAATTTTTAACGAATTAAAAATTTTTTTCGATTTTTTCATGAAATCCAGTGCAGCTGAGGTCCTGTTTGTGCGTACTTTAATTTAAGTAATAATACTTTTGCAATCCATACATCCAATACAGAGATTTTTCAACGAATGGAAATGTGGTAAAACAGAAGGCTTTAGCATCGCCTTAAAAGAGGAAAAAATATGCTAAACAATATTCATGTAAAACAATATTTTACAACATTTTTTCGCTGCTAGAATGTAAAAATATCTCGAATGACTGAATTCCCTAATTAATGTAACAAAAACCTAATTATTAGTATATAACTCGAATTTTTCTTTGATTTCACGGTAGTATTAACGTATTAGTTATTACACATACTTCTGTGCAATGTGTGCACTTATGTTGCACATTTAAGCTATATACTTGTACACATTTTGAGATGCAAGTTGTAGGCGAATTTTATATATTTAGAAAAAGGATGTACGATTCAACGACTTATATGTTGTATAATTATCCGAAATAAAGATGCATAAAGAAACATTTTACTACAATTTCCGTAACAATGCGCGAAAATACACGTGTGTTTGTAACAATGTATAAAAATACGTATATGCATGTTCGATTATAGTACAAACGAAAAAGGTTAATTAGTTCTTGAGCATCGGCAATTATAATTTCGCATGTACGTATTTTAATATAAAATTAAAAAAGAAAGAGACTTGACACTGAACATTCAAAATATATATTGTGCCACAACTTTGTACATATTGACATATAAAAACCATTTAAAAATTTTTTTATGAACAATTTCATGCGTCTCAAATAACAAATAAATGGATTCGAACAAATAAATGAATGCAAATATTACATGATCTTGAAACAGAATTTGTGTCATAGTGGAATAAAAAAATCTTTTCATTAATTGTTACTTTTGCTTACTATTGAAAAACTTGCTTGAAAGCACAAAATAAAAATGTTATACGCATTCATAATAATTGAATGCATAATACATTTTAACATAAGAAGTGTAGCATCAATCTTTACTTTTATATCATGCGACTTTATGTAATATCTAGAAATTTACATTAACATAACATAAAACTCATTGAAATTTTCAATGAAAAAGTAAGAAAGTAAAAGAATTACTTATATCTGTAATTAACGCGTAATTATATGTTTATACATATAAATTAATTATTAATTAATTGTTTATTATCGTATGGATATAATTAACTTATTCCGGAAAGTATTTATTCAAAAAACGGACGGATGATGAGATGATCCATAATCAAGATCTGTGAATTTTAGGAATTACATTTCATCTCTATATTATCTCAACTTTCTACTCAAATCAAACTCAAATCAGAAATTTACTCATAAACGTCGGAATCCGTAAAAATTTTCCTAAATTAAATCGAAACATCAGTATCTTATATTCTTACGTAATTCATCATGTCTGCTATTTACTTTTTACAATCATTCCATTGTTCGAATGTAGTACAAAGTTTTGTCTTTTCCTGCACGAGATAAAGTCACATAATGTGTTAACAGTTACATATGAAATTGATTCACAATAATGGAAACTGACAATAATGGAAACAGAATGTGGAAGTAAAGGAAAATGTCCTTTCAGAGAGAAACAGTAAGATAGTATCTCTATAATGTAGAAAGGAGCCTGCTAAAACGCAGACGGTAAATGGAGGTGCTTATACCTTAGCGTAATTACGGTACTGTTACAGAACAGAAGATAGATAGAATTGATAAGTAGGTTTCTGCAATTTCTCGAATGTCAAACGTTTGCATTTAATCGCTAATAGAGTTCGCAATCTTAATATTCCAAAGAATGAACGACAAGGAAGACGTTTGTCATAGCCGTTATTACTTTGTTCTTAGATTATATCTGACTATTTCGGGATTATGGCCGTATCATAAACTTCGCGATAGATGTATTCGCTTTGTGTCACTGTTTGTGTTTAGCTTTACTATTGTGATACCTCAGGTATATCTATTGAAAGGTTTGCCAGAAAAGAATTTTCTATAATCTATTTCTTGCACTACAAAATTATTATATATTTTCTTTTTTTGTATGATTAGAAGTTAATTTAATATATCGATATACAGTTTACTCATTAAACTGAGTATGAAAATCACATGTACATGCGCGAACCGTTATATATACAGAATGTCCCAAACCTTCGTCCTTAAAATGACATATTCCTGACATAATTCTAAGACAATTTTTTGTTTATCAAAATTCTATGCGTAGCTTAGTTTTTGAATTATAAACGAAAATAGTGAACGAATTACGGGTCGCGTACGGAAGATAGGCAAGGGTGGCACCTTCATTTATAATTCAAAAACTAAGCTACGCATAGAATTTTGGCAAAGGAAAAATTGTTTTAGAATCATATCAGGAATAAGTCATTTTAATGACAAAAGTTTGTTCTGGGACACCCTGTATATATGTCAATTTTATTAAATTTTTGAAGAATATCACTTTAATTTAATTTTAAGAAGAAAAAAAAAGAGAAACTCTGTCAAACAAATTTTAATATAATTTATCAAAAAAATGAAAATATTAAATGTATGTGGAAAATTATAAGAAAATAAACATATGTCTGCGTAGTCATTTCAAATTTAGAAAAATATGATCAACTTATCAATTTCATAATTGCGTTTAAATCTAATGTAGATACTTTATTTACTGATCGGCTCGACCACTCTCGATGACATATTCGAGTGTGCGCCATCGATATTCATCAGCATAATATTCAGTTTCAAAATATTGGTTATAATGTTAAATAGTGAGAAAGTAAGTAATGAATTTTCAATCTTTCAATAACTTTTGAATTTTGTATAAAGAAATATACAGGGTGGCCTTAAATTATGGCATCACCCATCCTGAGCAGGTAGAGTGGACTAAACTGAGTCGAAAAGTCCTCTACCATTTTGCAATTTACGAAATATAATTAACGAGATATTAATTACTAAATATCGCTAAATATTGGTCTTTAATATTTGTTTTACTCAAATACTATCAACTTTACAGAAAAACAGTAAAAGATAAAAATTATTTATTTTTTCTCGTAAAGTTCTGAGAATTTTTTTAGAAATTTTTCAGACTTTTTTTCATACCGTATATTCTCATGTTGGTAAAAATAAGAGAATGCAATACTAAAAAGTTAATAAAAAATTCTGAAAAAATTCTTAGAGTTCTATGAGAAGAAAATAAATGATTTTTGTCTCTTGCAGTTTTTCTATAAAATTGATAGTATTTGAATAAAAAATTATTGAAGACCAATATTTAGCGATTTTTAGTAATTAATATCATGTTAACCATTGCGAAAATTGCAAAATAGTAGAGGACTTTTTTACTCAATTTAGTCCGCTCTACCTGCTCAGGATAGGTGATGCCGTAATTTAAGGACATACTCTACATGACAATAGTAAGAAACACACGAACATTTGTTTAGTTAAAGACTTGTCTTAACATAATACAAAAGGACTGGTTATCATTAAATACAAATGTAGAAAAGATTATTTTGGAACGGCATACTAAGTATGGACAACATCTGGAAACATTTTATGCAGGTGTGTAGAATTTTAAGATTGTAAAAATTTACATAAACATTTTGAGCGCATGTATGTAAGCGTGCATTCTGGATCATATTTCTCACGATCTTACACTGAGAGAAAACTGTATTAAATTTTAATAAATATTTGTTTGAATAATGTCAGTTAAATATTTACTAAATGTAAACATATATTTACTCGGTACAAGAACCATTTAATTTGATTTGATTATATCTTTTTAAGTCGACTTTAGTATAAGCTGCAGCATCTCCAAATTTTGCGTCTACTTTAATCCTGTAAAAGAATTTTTTATTCCATTCAGGAATAAATTTGAAGATTTATATCGAATGCAATGTTCCGACAATTTAGTCATTCCAGGATCGCCTTAAAGAAAAATTGCATAAAAAACATACTAATTGCAAAAAATATCGATTTTTTAAACATATCAATAAACATATGCTTGAAAATCTTGCGTGCAATGTATACGTTTCCTAGTTTTCATGCATACGACCGCATGCCTTTTCATGCTTAAACCAATCGTCCTGACTCTAACAGCGAATGATGTCTTCAATGTGACAAAATCTTCTATAACATATGCATCGAGATTACCCTTCCACGTGGAGTACGGCGAAAAATTCAATCAATATATATATCCAATAGCAGTGCATAATTATGCGGCTGTAGTCGCTCATTCGTTTGCCACAATCGCCGTTGATGGATTGTACTACAGTTTAATTCAGCATGCTTGTGGAATGTTCTCGATTATTGGGTAAGCTTTTTTGATCATGAAAAATTTCTCTTAATCATGAAAAAACAGGAATGTTCTTCTTGCAATCGATTTCTTTGATAACATATAATCTCGAAATCTCGATTTGTCAAAAGTATATTTCTGCATTTTTGGTATTACAGAAATACTCTGGAGAACATTGGTAAAAATAACGAGGAAAATTTTGACGCAAAACCAATCAAAGTAAAAGACGATAATTACAAAAAAACTTTACATTGTTTACGTAAACATATCATTGTGATGGAGTACGTATGAAATTCATGTAATGATATCTGCATTTATTTTTGTCATTGATATTTACATATTAATTTACAAATTATCGTTTAGTTCCCATTTCACAGATTTGCGGAGCATATCGAATCGTTATTTACAAAAATATTTCTGATGACTCTTAACTTAAATATGATTGGTAGCAGTATGACCGGTATACAAGTATGTATCAACTATTCTTTTCTATTTATATAATAAATAACAATAAATTCATATTACAAATAATAAATTTTAGTACGAGCATTTTTATTATATTTCGACGATAACAAACAGAAAATTGAGAAAAAATCGTAAATAATCAGCTTTAATAATTTTTAGTAATCGATAAATTTATCAATGCGGTAGCCAAAAAAAGTACAAAAATAAGTCATGTGTATTTTAGGTGCTAATGCATTTAGATAAAGGCGCAAATGACATCATCGGACCCTTAACTATCTACGTTGCAGTATTAATTCATTTATTTCTTCATTTTCGGCAAGGTCAATTTTTACTTGACTACAGCATCCTCCCATATGAATCTATGTAAGAATGAATTCAAGTCAATAGTCTAATTACCTATTTCTTCTTCTCTTTTCTTTTTTAAGTCTTCGAGGGAAAACTCAAATAAAAATGTATAGTTTTCTTTGTTATGGGCATATTAAATAATTTCTATAAGCTATAACTAATCTTTTTATATGTAGCATATACAAGACGTATTGATTTTGTGGCTTTTTATGTTTGGATGGCAAGATAAAAACCTAGTATAAATGCAAATATTTGCTAGATTTATCATTAATCATTTTAATTTTAATTTTTCTTGTTTCACGTAATAGCTGCAGGGCCAATTGGTATTATACTTCGCAAAGATGTCGAAAACTTCTGCTGCTAATGATGTACAAAACAGCAATACCTTGCAGAATAACAACTGGTAAACTAATGATTCTATCCATCGATAACTTTGCCATGGTAAATATATAACTGCATCACTGTGTTTTTAATTTTTATTATCATAAGCATAATTTATCAACGAGAATCTTTTATTTTTTAAAGGTTGTAAAATCTTCTCTGTCTTATCTTACTGTGTTCCGTTCAATGCAGTGATGATTTGGCACATCAAGTATGCACTCAAAACCGCTTAACGCATCTCTTTGATGCAACAAAAATCCAATATATCCGTAATTTGAATTTTTCTTTGATTCACAGTAACATCGACGTTATTACACTTGCTTCTGTATATTTACGTTGCATGTTTAATTATTTAAGCTTAAATTTGTTCAAATTATTTCGAGATGCAAGTTATCTTGAAATGCAAGATGAATGTTATGTGCTAAAGAAAGAACGTAACAATTCGACAATCTATTTGTAATTGTTCGAAATAAAGATGCATGGAAGAAAGCATTTTATTAGTATTTTTCTATAACAATTTCCAATAACAATTTTCTATAACAATGCGCGAAAATACGAAAATATGTGTTTGATTATGTATAAATGGGAAAGGTTCTTGCGTATCGAGAATTACAATTTCGCATCTGTGATACAAAATAAAAGAAGAACAATACTTAAAACTGAAGACTCGAAATATATTTTACTCTTGATAATAAGATATATCAAGAAGAGGAGAAAGGGGTGACAAGGGGGAAGGTAATAGCAGTGTCTCGATCGCGGTTGGTAGAGGTCACCGGTTGGACATGCGAGATGTAATCCAAAGGGAAAAACGAAATAACTAATGGGATGAGTTTAGTGGTTGACACAAACAAATAAAGAGAAAAAAAAGGAAGAAAATGGGGCGTCCGAATAAAAAAAAGGGGTGATGTCCGCTTACTATTTGCAGCTATACCGGAAGACTGAAGCTGTTGGGCCGAATGTGCGAGGTTGACGATGTTTCTTCAGCATTGACTTTAAATCTTTAAGGCTCAGTTTCACAACTCACACACATGGTTAACTCTTAACCGAGGCTCAACTTGTTTCTCATCTTTTTCCAATTCTAAAATTGGAAAGAGACAATGAATAAATTGAAGTTCGGTTATGAGTTAACCGTCAGTTGTGGAACTGGGCCTAAGTCTCGCTGGCTAAGTATGCGAGGTCGATAGATGTTCTCCCGCACTTCGTCCGTTCCCAAAGAGAAATTAGGAAAAAGGCAGAGAATAATCAAATCAACTACTCAGGAAAGATCGGAGAATTTTGCTGGTTTGACTTCGGAAAAAATTGTGCTGCAAGGACCGCAGTTTATATACTAGTTCTCCCTTGGTTGGTAGGGTTCTAATTAGGTGGTGGGACACTTTTCTGGTTTCTTGATTAGTCGAGATTGTGGGGGAGGAAAGGAGTCGGTTTTGTGTCAACAAGTGTCAGTCTTATTTTATGATGCTTTTCTTCTTAAATTATGGGGAAATGCACGTGCACCGATTAAGATGAGCGCATGTGCAGCGTCGGCACGGGGCCGTCAAATACCTCCCCTGGACGTCGCGTGTCACTTTTATATTTTATGGTCGCGGACATCGTGAGAATGTTCAATGAAATCGTATGAAAAAGCAAATGAAATCATTGCTTTCTTCAATAAAAGAATATACCTATATAAATATAAATATAAAGAAATGTGAAGCTATGAGAATCTGGCATGGAAATTACTTAATTAATGCGCAGATTAAATAATTTTCAACAAATAAAATTTAATCATTTAATCAATCATTAAGAATCTTACAATATTTTGCTGGTACGTTTCGGCTCCAATATTTAAGCTCTCATCAGCGACAAAAAACGCGAAGATTAAGATATCGAAAACTGCATGTCGTGCTAGATACGCTAGACACGGCGAAAGATTAGTAGATCAAAACAAAATTTCGTTGTCCAACCACTTGGAAGACTAGACTTGGAAAACATGTTCATCCTATATCAAAATCAGATGTTAACGAAGACAATGTTTGTAATGGTTAGAAGGAAATTTTGGAAAATACGACTTATCTCGCGAGTGGTAGCAGTCCACACAACAAAAACGGATTCAGAATACAGAAAGTCCGAATAAATTATACAGAAAAATATAGAAATGTCTAATTACCGCCAGACTCTCATAGCTCCACGTCTCTTTATATTTTTGTCGAACTTCAAGAGTCCTTTTATACAGTTTATATTATGCATTAATAATTTATACATGTATACGTGATTATTGTGCGATATGTGCTGACACTCATATCTTCGTGAACATGTGTAGTGTGCATTTTTGTCAATAATTAATTGCTAACCCACGTAACTTAACATAAACATGTAAATTAATTGTTCACCAATAAATTGTAAATCTAACTATGTAGTCGGCTCTTCCCACATTTTTTCAGACTTTTTCCACTCAAAATTTTTTCTATTTTTTAAGTGATGTTCCGATAGTACAAGTGAAAATAATTTTTTACATTTTTTGTGAAAACTAACATATTTTAAGTCGCGATGTAGAGGCAGTATCATACTTTGCTTATTTGAAAAAAGCAAGCATATATCTAAGTACTTGATGCTTGCAAATGTATTCCAATTGTTTCATTTTACAATAATTCTTGAAAAATTTTATTAAAAGATCATAGTAATGCACAATCGCATGTAACTTAAACGAAAAGAGATATTTGAATAAAACAAAAAAAAGGCATGAAAGTGCATTTTATTGCCTACAAGAACGTACCATTACTTTTTAATCATTTACAGCTATATATTTCTTCCAACGGTGTAAACCAGTTTTTTCATCCGGTTAATAAAGAATTCCAGCAGTCTTTCCTTAATCCACGATTTCACCTGCATCCTTCACTTCATCATTCATGATAAAATGAATGCCCTTAAGATCTCTCCTTAAATTTGGAAAGAAGTAAAAATCGCAGGATGCCAAACTCGCCAGCTTCCGATGCATGAAATTTTATTACACACCTATTCACAGTACTTTAATGAACAGTTTCATCACTATAAATAGTTTGTAAATGACAATGTCACTAGGATTTATTTTTTTGATGATGAAGTGAAAGATACAATGAAGTCAATGGACCAAGGAAAGATCTTTCTTCATTGATCGAGTGAAAAAACTGGTTCATTGTGGGAGAAATGTACAGCTGTAAATTACGTTACAGTAATTACGCTGAAAAGTAATGGTACATTCTTGTAGCAAATAAAATGCACTTTCATATCCTTTCGATTACATTCAAATATCTCTTCTCATTTACGAGTTACGTGCGACTGTGCATTACTTTTCAGCCGACTCACTATCTTTTTTACTGATTATTTAGAAATATATAAAGTTTTAATAATGGCGGTAAAAAATATATGCAAAGATAGACTATCTCTGACTAGATAAACATATATCAGTAAAAAGGTATAATTGTGCCTCTTTATTAATCATCTTAACTCATTCATTGTGTAAAGCTGATAAATAGTCTTACTGATAACAGGTCCGAGTCGTCGTTTCTTGTCAACTTGAATATTTGCTAATAATTGTTCGCCATTCTTACCAGAATTCTCCAAAGCTGTAATTAAAATTTGCGGTGAGGCATAACGCTCCACAATTGCCATGGCTTTGTCGATGGACATGCCTTTCAATTGTAACAATTGACGAATAAACATCTCGCTCACTTTGAATGTCTGAAAGGAAATAATATCGATAAATCTAAGCATTTCTTACAGGCATCACGTAGAAAATTTTTGATACATACCCTTTGTTTAGAGGATGCTTTATTGAATTCTTTGAACTCCATAAGACGTACTGCGCTACCTACATTGTCTGTTTGAGTAAGGTGTTCTTTCTTGCATCCAACAAGTCTCTTATCCTGTAAAATTATTATCTATCATAAGATCTATAAACATTAATAAACATTTATTTGCATAATTATATGGATGTATTTCCGAAACGATTTTTTTTCACATTTTTTCACGCTTTTTGCATAGAAAATCATGCGCCCCTTAAGCAGGGGGGGGGAGGGGTGAGAGTCGCTTCGCGTGGAAAGGATATTTAACCGTAAAAATGACCTTGTCGGCAATTTCCATGATCATATTTGTAATCAGCACACAAAAATACAGTAGTATAGATAAAAATCATTTTTTAAATATTTGACCTTGAAAATGATCTTGTCGGTGATTTTCATGATCATATTCGTAATTAGGGCATCAAAATACAGTAGTATACCAATCGAGAAAAAAGTCGAGGGGTTCACCTTTTCGGAAGTACATCCAATTATACAGTATTTTTTGCATACCTTATAAAGTTGGATTAAAATCTTTGTTATACATGACAAGTGTGACATAGAATCTTTGTGATTCCTTGTATATTTTACTGTAAAGCCGTCCTGTACCAAACAATTTACAGAGGCTTGTAACAATGATGAGAGCGGTACAGAATATCGGGAATTCTTATCAATATTTTCTACTATATACATCAAATTCTCAATACCAGATTGCTTCAATCGAAACTGAAATATAGAAACAAAGAATATATGTATAATCAGATATAGGAAAATCACGAATGTACCAAAAGGTAATTACATTCCTATTACCTTTTGTTCATGAAACCTTCCGTCCACAATGCTTGCACTTAAATCATCCATTCGCTTCCGTTCTATTATGTAAGGCAAAATCAATTCATCATTAGTTTTTCGACATCTGGCTATCCACGCGAAATCACCA